TAAAATAGAAATTTATGACAATCAAATATATAAAATTAAAATTAGAATCAACATATAACTAAAACCTGATTACAACCAATACAATAATGGGTATAAAAGATAGAAGCAAATTATAGTTATACATATCTTTTATTTTACATAATTTTATTAAAAACCTCATTTTTCAGGGTTTTTTTTACAGAGAAAATAAATTTGAACTGTCTAAAACAAATCTAAAATTTTTGACAAGTCAAATACAAAAATTACAAATCAATCAAACTCTTATGTATCTGGAATGATCATAATAGTAGTTATTATTGTCCCATTTTGTGCAATCGCATGTAAAAAAAAAATGGATTTCAAGGAGGCTTCTGGCCCATGAAAGATTACATGAGTATATCATCAACTAATATAAGTAAATTGCAAAAATATTCAATAATTATATTAAAGTAGGTAACAACACAATGTTTGCTTAGTGAATATAAATATTTTATGAGAATATATGTATTATGATAAAACAATTCTCATAATACACCTCATGATTATAATCATTTTTTTCACATATTTTTTATGATTTTGGACCAAATACAAAGTTTGAAATGATAAAAGATAGATATATAAAACTTAGGGGCTGTTTACCAAATTTTCTATTCAGTCCTGTATGGATAAATTTCTCTGTCTGGATAAATTTGGTTGTCTGGATAAATTTGGGTTGTTGTTTACTTTTCTATCTAAATCAACAGTCTGAATAACAAAAATGACCAATTTACACCTGAGGATTAACTATGGGCTATTTAGTATACTGTTGTTCATTTTTTAAGGCAAATGATATTTCTGAAAAATAAAATATTTAAATAACGAAACATAAATTCATAAATCCAAGTTCAAACACAAAGTAGCCAAGTTCAAATACAAGCTCAAACACAAAAATCCAAGTTCAAACACAAAAATCCAAGTTCAAACATTATTGACCAAACTATTTGCAATTCCATCTCTCAAAGTAGCCATATATTGAGTGCTATTAGCACCCATTGTGAAATGTCCAATTCTTCTTCTCCATTTCCTTCGACTTCTCCAAAGTAGCCTAACCCTTTTTTGTTGTTGGGTTTCACCCGTTTGTTCCATACCTATAATGAACATTCGAGCTATGTATTAAAGACTTGTTAAATATACTACCAAGAATGTTATACAAACAAGCTGCTGTTATACCAAGAATGTTATACAAACCCAGAAATAAGACAAAGAATGTTGCTGCTGTTATACAAACAAGCTACTGTTATACAAACGAGAATGTTGCTGCTGTTATACAAACAAGCTGCTGTTATACCAAGAATGTTATACCAAGAATGTTATACCAAGAATGTTATACAAATCCAGCTAATGTAAGAATGTGCAAGTTATGTGCAGCTAATGTTGGACCTGAAATCGAGCAGAAATATCGAGCATATACTACCAAAATCGAGC